GTAAAAATACCAACAGTTTGGAATTTGGAAGGAAGAAAAGCAAATCAGTTCAAAGGTAGTGGACATAGACCTAGATAGAGAAGTTGGAGAGACAGTGGGAGAAACAGATATATTCATGAGGTAGTTTTGATAATCCAAAGACCTTCAAAGCCCATAGAAGCTACTGGACAGTCCTCTGGATCTTTTCTCTCCTTCTCAACTTCATGAATTAAAGGTCTGTACTTGTGTGCTGTATTATCCAAACATGATCCCTTTATCGATAGGAACACCACATCCAATTCTGGAACAGCCCAAGGATCAGCTTGACCATGAGGGAACCTGAGGAAGTGTGAGCTCTGAATTTTCCCTGTGGGAGGAAACATCTGTTTATTCTCTATCTCAGGACACTGAGCACTGCCAGGGCCATTTCATGTGAACAATGAGTCTGTTTCAGGCCTTGCCACTCTCTGGGAAGACCCACAGTGTCCTGTGCTGTGCTTTTATAATTATGTGTAATTCTTTCTCTAGTTGTGTTAAATATTTTCTTCAATGGATGAATTTTATTTCCAATACTTCTGTTCTTTAGTCCCCTGTAGTTTAACTTTAATATCATTTATTACAATTTTGATTTTATTATTTGTGACTTGGTTGTTTTTATAACTTCTGTTTATTTTCTGATATTTGGCTATTTTCTATTTGTTTCAAGAACATATGAAATTTTTCCACAAGGGGAAATCAAGATTACTACTTTTAAAACTATCTGCAAAATAGCTTCAGCATCAGAGTTACCTTACTGCTGATTTCTGCAGATTTTCTTTACACATTCAGGTTGCGAATTTCCTGATACTTGGTGGATGTGATATTTAATTTATTTTGAAGCCATTTGATATATTATATTATATTATGTGACATAAGTCTGTCATATAGGAAAACATAACTGCTTTATTTTTCTGCATTAATTGGCTTTTATTTTGTTTGCAAAAGAAACAAGACACACCTCCTTTGAAGGGTTTCAGCTTTTCAATCAGTTCAAATTCTCTTAGGCTTGAGTCACCTGTTTTCTATTTTCCATCTGCTGAAGTGCTCAAGAAATCTGAAAACATTTTACTCTCTATCTTATTTTTCTATTTGAAATTGGTCAGTAGGCATGAGTTGTATTTATACTTGAAGGGCAAGTAAATATGCTCTTCTCTAAAGTGACCACCAGGTTGAGAGAAACAGGTTTATGTTCATCTCATTGTGGGAAGGAGAAGGAAATCTTTTGATCAGAAGAAAAAGACTGAGTTTGTAACAATAACTGTGTTCCACTACCCCATCTGTTTCTGCACATAAATATGCCACTGTGCACTGATTCTCAGATGTAGCCTTTGGGACATTCCCAGTTATAATCAAGTTGTATACATGCAGAGAACCAGAAAACTATAAAGATATCTGCAGGAGTAATTTCACAAATGTATGACAAGGGTTGCTTGTACAATATTAAAAGTCATGAAAATCTTTTGTTGACCTTGTTATATATACAGATTCTTAAGAAACAACTTACATTTTTGATTTAGTATGTGAAATGGGAATTATATTTTAACTCTGTACCAGTAATGCACTGATTTCAAGGCTCAAGGAAACATACTTAGTTTATATAAACCATGTAATGAATGAAGATATGTATATTCATGCATTTGTTTTTTCAGTGTTGGAGACTGAGCGCAGGGTATCGAATATTCAATGCTGCTACACCCCAGGCCCTTGTTCATGATCCTCCAATAAGAGATTCTTAATGATAGCTGTCAATAAGTCATTAACTTTGGTATATGTGTATGTATTCATACACACACAGAAACACACACACACATATATATACACATATATATATATATATATATATACACATAAGTACATATGTACTTGGTTTAGTATAAGGTTTAGTGCTGACCCCTATACTCTCTGAGTGTACAGGTTCAGACAGGAAACACAGTCTAGAATTGGTTGCATAGGAGAGACAGAAACACCTTGAGAAATACAGCATATGGGTCATGGCCATGAACCTTGGATAGAGGAAAGAAAACTCACCCTACATCTGTACACTATAATGTACAAAAGTTTCAATAGAGCAAGAGAGTAGTGAGAGAGTCAAATTACTTACTGTGAATTCAGGAACATCCACCAAAGGTAGTCACCATGGCTCTCAGTCCCAATTTCATAGGCACAGCCTCAGCATTTTCTCAGCATGGTCGAACAACACTTCTGTCCTCTTATAGTCCGGCATAAAGTCTTTCTGGTTCTCCTAGGTACCTAAATGTCCCCAAGATTCATTGTCTTTGACTCCGCTTTGCAAGGAAAGAATCACAAATCTCCAAGGCATCCAGACAAGATATGTGCCTAGAATTCTACTGGGCCTGGGTCCACTGTGACCAACTCGCATCTTGGTGCCTGTGTCTGAACACAGTATGACACTGGCATCCCCGACATAGAAGACTGAGGAAGGAGGAGGATGTTTTTTCTTTGACAAGTCTAAGTTTGGAGTCTATGCTGGGGAAGAATATGCACCAACTGGGAGAGTCCCTGGCCTCTGGCTGGAACTGATGTCTAGCTTCTAGTCACTGTGTGGAAAACTAAATAGATAAGAGAGGAGTCTATGCCATGATGGAAAATCCTGTACATCTCTGAGTCCTAAGGACCAGTTCATACTGAGCCCCTATGTCCCTTTAATCCAATAAGCAGCAGGATGTGAAGGAGTGTTCATGTAAAACAGCCTATTCTCTGGACCTAAATATGAAACCTGACCAGAAAACTGATATTGGGAGAGAGTGTACCTCGGTTGGTCTGGGGTTCCTTCTCAGGCCCCAGCCAGCAGATAACAGATGATTTCAGCCAAGGGGCCTTACAGCAGCTTCTAGGTGGAATGCAAAACAAACAGTTGTCAAGGGGAGCCAACAATCTCTGTTGCCAGAGGTCCAGATCCACTGTTGTCTTCTCTGTTGTCCACTGTATCTTCCATAAAAGGATAGAACTGGTTGGTGTCAACATATAATGACACATATGATGACTCATGTCTCCACACAGACCTCTGGTATATGGAGTCTTCTTTCCAGATGTGGTGCACTTTACAGGACAACCCTGAGAATTTTGGACCCCTGATGGTGACTCCTAGGATGCAACAGAATAAGAATTTATCAAAGAAACAAACCAGTCACCACAAGTTTCATAGTTCCTTTCCCCTCTCACGACAAGCAGAAGTCAGCTAATCTAGGGTTGATTATGGATTTAGGGGCTTTCGCTATGTGGCTCTTCTTCCTCTTCCCATTCCTCTTTCCCTTCCTCCTCCTCCATCTCGTCCTCCTCCCTCATTTTCTTTCTCTTCTTCTTCATCTTCTACTTCATCTTTAAGACCTAGGAGACCTAGTCTTGCTAATTAGCATTGGGATAGTTACTCCTTATGTAGCCCAGACTGACCTTGAAGGCTAGATATCCCTCCTTCAACTTATCACATGCTGAGATCAGAAGTATGGGCCACCACACCCATATGTTAACAACCATATAAAGAAAATTCTCAATCTGCTAAGAAGTGATTTGTCTACAAGACTGGCATCAGTGTTCATGTACCTGGAAATCTGGTGAGAATTTAAAATTAAAGATATTATCCTGTGCAGATTTTTGTCCAACCCAAAGATATCTCACATGTTGGAATCCTACACAAGGAAATAGTGTTAAGTGGTGGTGCACATTTCAGGTGATTCCAACATGAATGGAACTAGTACCTTTATGAAACAGGCTATATACATATAAGTATATGTATATTTGTATATATTCATATGTATATGAATATAGAATGAACCATTCATGTACATATGAATATAGAATGAACCATCTTCAAACAATGGAACAGACCCACCCCAAAAAATAATGATCAGTGTCCTGATCATGGATTTTTCTAACTTCAATATCTGTGAGAAATACATGCTATTGTTTATAAGCCACATGCTCAGGGTAATCTGTCATAGTTCTCCCAATGCATTATGTCATTGGGTTAGGAACAGAGGGTGGATAATTTAGATCTGGATTAAAACCAACCTGATACCTAAGAGTGATTATCTTGCCTGATCTTACTATAATTTTAAGCCAGTGTAAAGACCACATACTGTCCAAGAAGACTGAAAGAGGAACAGTGAGATACCCCTGAGGAGTTATTTCCAAGAGCCTTTATGTCAGTCACCCTGTGTAGAGAAAAGTGTGAGAGAGAGGCCTGAGCAGCACAAGATGACAACCAAGTTGTCATATTAAAATACAATTATGTGGAAATAACTCCATGTATACTTCTGATCTCATTCAATACTCTTATTATAGAATACATTTTCATCTCAGAATGTACCTAAACCCTGTGTGGCCCAAGCATCACTGAAGTCTCAGTAGAGTCAGAAGATCCCCATAAGGAGCATAATGGAGGTGGTTTTCATGGAACTTATGCCTGTGGGAGTCAGTTCCATGCTTGTGGTCACTCTGCTCACTAAAATGACATAATTACTGTTATATCTTAGGGAGGAGACTGGTGTCCCTGAAGACACCAAAATTTTCTTGCTCTGAGAAACAGAAAAGCAAAGCAGTTACCAGAATCAGACTGGAGTTAGCAGGTTCAGTGGAATGTGATTTCTTCCTTGTGGATGGTCAAATGGTCTGTGTTGGGCACACTGTGGACTCAATGACTTACCAGGAGCTCTCACATTACAAATAGGTGTGAGCCATTCCTAGACACTGAAGTGAAACTGGGTGTGGTCAGTGTTATAGTCTTGGTGCATCATCTCCTTAGAGGGGAACTGAATGCTATAAAAGAGGTCCTGTGTAGGAATGTATTAGCTACACATCATAACTAATGAATACCAGAAGATATTTTCATGTCTATAGGTACTAGAATATCACTTATTAGCAAAAAAGTGATGATAAATCACTTCCTAATTTGCTACAGTCCCAGACAGAATAAGGCTGATATCATAACAAAAGAGAGGTTTTAGTCTCACTTCCCCCTTGGTCTAAATCACTGTGTTAGTGCCAGTGTTGCCATGATATATTGCACAGTAATAGTCAGCCTCATCCTCAGGCTGAAGTCCAGAGATGAGTAAAATCCCTGAATTGGCCGAGGCATCTTTGGATCCAGAGAAGCAGCTGGGGACCCCAGGTCCCTGGTATTTACCTGAGTCTGAGTAGTATCTTAGCAAAAACTGAGGCGTACTCTCTGTCTTCTGCTGGTACCAGGATATATGATATCCAAGTACTTCAAAACCACTGCTCAGTGTGCAGTTGAGTCTGGCAGAAGATCCAAGAGATGCAGAGACAGAGGACATCTGAGTCAACACAGGCTGGGAGAGGGAACCTGGAAATAGAAACAGTAATGAGTGGGTAAGCAAAGACAATTATATAGTATCTAAGACATCCTAGCCACAAGAGGCTGGCCCTCGGAATTTGTATCCTGCACTTACCCAAGAACTGAGAGAAGATGAGAAAGGACTAAGACCCAGGCCATGTTCGACACCTCTTTCCTGAGGTTCATAGCTGCAGTGAGCTGTTCTGAGAATCTCTTATCTTCTCCTTAATGGCAAGAAGAAGGAAAGGACATGCAAATATATCCCCTCCTACAACTCTTCAGTACCACTTATTTAGGTCCTTAGACAAGGAAGTCTAAATGTTGTGATGAGTTCATTTGCCTATGGTTGGAAACCAGGAGGAGGCAGGTTTGGTAACTCATCTGAAGATCCAGCTACTGAGTCCACATTAATAATTTAGAGTCCATTTCCTTCTGTTAACTTTACATCCACTCAGAGCTTTTTGGGGACTCCTCTGCGTGTCCACAATTTATGGTCCCATAGAGCCCCACCATCTGAGCCTTACCAACCCCATTTTCCTTACATCTTAATGTTTTCACTGTGATTCCAGGAATGAGACATTTATGTGCTCAGCAAAAGGATCAGCTACATAATGCTAACTCCCAAAATATATGTGTTTTTGAGGCACTTGTTATTTTAAAGGAAAAATTCACCAGAAATCAGTAACACAGTGATTATAAAAATGGCCACCAAAGAGAAGAGCTGCCCTAGAATGCTAATAGCTGTGGTGTTTAGGACAATCTTCTGAGAAAATGACTATTTTTCAGGTGCTATTATTATGTGCAAGGTAAAACAGGTGAGGAGTTTCTCATTCAGAACTGCTATAAACAAATTTCTACTATTAAGTGGATTTTCAACAAAAGAAATTTATTTCTAAGAGATTGAAGTCTGGGGAATCCGTCTTAGCAGATTTGATGTCTGACAAGAGCCACAGATAACCATCTCCTTCCTTTGTTTCTACAGGCATATGGTTTGAAGGATCTCTCTCAGGCTTCTTCCATAACAATATTAATCCCCATTCACGAAGGCCTCTGTAACACCTGACCTAATCATGCCCTGAAGGCTCCACCCCCTAATACCATCACCTTGCAAATTAGAATACCAATTGGTGAAATGGTGGGAGACTTGTCTTACATTTTATCTCAACTAAGGTACTTGCTAACAGACATAGGGAACTGAAAATACATTGACCAGGCTTAATAAAACAGTAACTTTAAGATTTTCAGTGTCTCCTTAGACTATGCTCAGAATTCTATAAGGGGTAAGATCTACTCTAACATCCTAGGTACCAACACAGGCAGGACTCTGGAGAAAGTGCAGAGTTCTTATCTTCACATGATATCATGTTCCCCAAATCCAGGCATGTCCTATGAAAATTGAGGAGCAGAGAATGAGTCAGGGGGAGGGTCTATTGAGAAATTCCTTCAGTTGTACATTCTGATTTCTCTTCTCCACACCACAGGGAAGTAAGGTGAGTTTCATATAATTGTATTATTCCAGACACATCTTGTGAAGTAAGTCTTTGTCTTCTTTTTGGGTATTGTTCCTGTGTGGCATAGATGAAGGAAAGTACCTTGCATGCTATTCCCTAAGGTCCCCAAGGACAAATAGGAGGAAAGAGTCTGTCTGGAAGCAGGTTTCTGCTTCTGTAGTTGACAAAAACCCCACCAGACCTCTCAGCATCTTCCTACAGGGCCTTCTGAGGTCCATGAGAGAGATTCCATTGTTTAGGATATATGATACCTGCCACATCCAAAGAGAAATTTGCCTTCCTCACAGCCTTCATTAACAGAGGGTCCAAATCAGGGAATTCATCCCTGCTTTCCCTCACTTATATACTTCAGTCCTTAATTCAAAGCTGTACTCTCAGTATGGAATTTTAAGGAATGAAACTATCTATTTATCAGAACCTGAGAATGAAGTTTAAGGACACTTCTGAGAGAGAATCTGTCCTTAATCCAGCATAGCAGTACACTGTGTGCATTAGAGGTGACTGGCCTTTCCAATGTGGAGGGAAGAGATCTTCAGTTTTATTCTCTTTTGCCCCTATAACCTCAAGTCTCAGGATATGAGTTTGTCACCTGATCCTTTGCTTTTGTCACAATTCATCTTTCATGGAGTGGAGATTCAATGATACCCTACAAGAGGAAGGTACTCAAGGAACAGCACCATTATTGAGAATGTGGGGCTGGCTGCCATCATGAGTTTTTCTCTCTGATGTTCCAGAACAACAGCTACAGCCCTCCTCTGTTCACAAGTCCTTGATTTTCCTGGAACAAGAATGGATAGTGAACATTGCTCAGTACTCTGAGTGCAGCCACAGTGAGAGTGACTGCTTCTCCTGAGGACAGAGTGAGCATGTGCTCATCAGTCACTATGGTCTGAGAACTGTATTTTGATATCAAACTCAAACATGCCAGGAATAAAGAAGGAAGATAGAGGGTAAATCGAACATATCTATTACTCTGAATTGTAAGTTAGGAGAAGTAGATGGTGACCAGCCATGATGCAAACATTGGAGGGTTTCCTTGTATTTTGCTTGAGCTGGATATTCTAATGTGTCTTTGTTTCCTACTGAGTGTAAAGCAGGGAGTTGGGGTGTTTGTGTGGAATATTATGCCAATAGGAGTACTTCACAATTATCTTCCACTATATGATCCTGAGCTCTGGGAGCTGTTTCATCATCAGAGGGAGACTGCAAGAGGGAGTTTGATGAGGATTTGCCTGTGAGAGGAATCACATGCTCTCACATTGTTCACAGATAACAGAGAAACATTGTAGGGTCAAACAAATTTGAAACACTTGAGCTTCCTTATTTTTCTGAAAGTGATCACAGTGCCCCATGGTGCACTTCCACATTTACATACTCTAAAGGAGTATGGCAAATTCTGTTCAAGATGCGAGTGAATAATTTTTATGAAATTGCCATTATTTTCTCCAGGCAATGTCACATTCATTTTCTTTTCTTTGCTCATTATCTTTTTTTTTTTTTGGTGTTTGATTTGGTTTTTTTTTCATTTTTCTTTTATTATTCATATGTGCATACAAGGCTTGGTTCATTTCTCCCCCCTGCCCCCACCCCCTCCCTTACCACCCACTCCACCTCCTCCCTCTACCCCCAATACCCAGCAGAAACTATTTTGCCCTTATTTCTAATTTTGTTGTAGAGAGAGTATAAGCAATAATAGGAAGGAACAAGGGGTTTTGCTGGTTGAGATAAGGATAGCTATACAGGGCATTGACTCACATTGATTTCCTGTGCGTGGGTGTTACCTTCTAGGTTAATTCTTTTTGATCTAACCTTTTCTCTAGTTCCTGTCCCCTTTTCCTATTGGCCTCAGTTGCTTTAAGGTATCTGCTTTAGTTTCTCTGCTTTAAGGGCAACAAATGCTATCTAGTTTTTTAGGTGTCTTACCTATCCTCACCCCTCCCTTGTGTGCTCTCGCTTTTATCATGTGCTCATAGTCCAATCCCCTTGTTGTGTTTGCCCTTGATCTAATGTCCACATATGAGGGAGAACATACGATTTTTGGTCTTTTGGGCCAGGCTAACCTCACTCAGAATGATGTTCTCCAATTCCATCCATTTACCAGCGAATGATAACATTTCGTTCTTCTTCATGGCTGCATAAAATTCCATTGTGTATAGATACCACATTTTCTTAATCCATTCGTCAGTGTGGGGCATCTTGGCTGTTTCCATAACTTGGCTATTGTGAATAGTGCCGCAATAAACATGGGTGTGCAGGTGCCTCTGGAGTAACAGTCTTTTGGGTATATCCCCAAGAGTGGTATTGCTGGATCAAATGGTAGATCGATGTCCAGCTTTTTAAGTAGCCTCCAAATTTTTTTCCAGAGTGGTTGTACTAGTCACATTCCCACCAACAGTGTAAGAGGGTTCCTTTTTCCCCGCATCCTCGCCAACACCTGTTGTTGGTGGTGTTGCTGATGATGGCTATTCTAACAGGGGTGAGGTGGAATCTTAGTGTGGTTTTAATTTGCATTTCCTTTATTGCTAGAGATGGTGAGCATTTTTTCATGTGTTTTCTGGCCATTTGAATTTCTTCTTTTGAGAAAGTTCTGTTTAGTTCACTGCCCATTTCTTTATTGGTTCATTAGTTTTGGGAGAATTTAGTTTTTTAAGTTCCCTATATTTTCTGGTTATCAGTCCTTTGTCTGATGTATAGTTGGCAAATATTTTCTCCCACTCTGTGGGTGTTCTCTTCAGTTTAGAGACCATTTCTTTTGATGAACAGAAGCTTTTTAGTTTTATGAGGTCCCATTTATCTATGCTATCTCTTAGTTGCTGTGCTGCTGGGGTTTCATTGAGAAAGTTCTTACCTATACCTACTAACTCCAGAGTATTTCCTACTCTTTCTTGTATCAACTTAAGAGTTTGGGGTCTGATATTAAGATCCTTGATCCATTTTGAGTTAATCTTGGTATAGGGTGATATACATGGATCTAGTTTCAGTTTTTTGCAGACTGCTAACCAGTTTTCCCAGCAGTTTTTGTTGAAGAGGCTGCTATTTCTCCATCGTATATTTTTAGCTCCTTTGTCAAAGATAAGTTGCTTATAGTTGTGTGGCTTCATATCTGGGTCCTCTATTCTGTTCCACTGGTCTTCATGTCTGTTTTTGTGCCAGTACCATGCTGTTTTTATTGTTATTGCTTTGTAATATAGTTTGAAGTCAGGTATTGTGATACCTCCTGCATTGTTCTTTTGACTGAGTATTGCCTTGGCTATTCGTGGCCTCTTGTGTTTCCATATAAATTTAACAGTAGATTTTTCAATCTCTTTAATGAATGTCATTGGAATTTTGATGGGAATTGCATTAAACATGTAGATTACTTTGGGGAGTATCGACATTTTTACTATGTTGATTCTACCAATCCATGAGCATGGGAGATCTCTGCACTTTCTATAGTCTTCCTCAATCTCTTTCTTCAGAAGTGTATAGTTTTCCTTGTAGAGGTTGTTCACATCTTTT